GATTAATAGAGTCTTTTTCACCACAATATATACATTCATCATCTTCCTTGATTCCATAGCGGTAAAGTTCCTTTTTGGTGACTACAATTCGGTGGATTAATTTATATTGAAATTCCTTTAATTTGGTCTCTCTACAGACGGTTTTTAGGGAGGTGAATATTTTTTCCCATTTATCTTCATCCAAGGAAAGATCTTTGCTCCATCTCTGTGGCCCAGAATGACCTGTTGTGTGGATTTTTGTGCATAATAACGTATAGAAGTCGCTAGTCTTGATTTTGTTCAGATATAGAGTTATCGATTCATTTAATTGTAGACTAAGATTATTATCAGAATATAACTCTTTATTAATTGGCTTCGTTGATTTTGCTTTGGCTAATAGGTGCTTTGGGATAGCGCTAATAACTTGATAGTATTGAAGGAAGTTAGTTTTACAGGAATACTTATTCGTAAATTCCTGATAGGTCATCGGCTGACCAGTATTGTTTAAGAGATCTTGTATTGACAGGATACCTTTTTTAAACCATTCCCTGATAAAAAAGGTTTTACTGTCAACAAGTATTTCTTTGTTGTTGAATAGAATTATATTTTGTGCTTGATCAAAGCTGTACAGAGTTTTTAATTCACTGAAGTATACTAGAATATTTCGGTAAAACAATGGAATAGATTTTATGTATTTCGCATCATAGTTACATCTCAGTAAAAAGTTCAAACCTCCGAATTTTCTTAGGTAATAATCAGGAACTGTTTTCCAATTCTGGTTCCCTGGAGTCAGTAATCTTGGAATCCAGGCTAGTTTTAGAGCTTTAAACATTATGTCGATGTCTACCATACGTATTCCGCCTCTTCCCAGATCCTGATAGAGCCCAGTTCGTTTAATTTTATCCCTTTTGTTTTTCCATAAGAAACTAAAAAACTTTGTTTTCACTGTGCTTGCGATATCTTCGGGAACATTAAGAATTGAAACTGAATAAATTAATTGTGACAATCCTAGGGACTTAATTATCAGTACCTTCCCAAATAGTGTGAGGTCTCTAGATCTCCACATATCCAGCTTTGTTTGAAGTTTTCGTATTTTCAGATTAAAGTTCAATTCATTGTTACCCTTCTCATCATAAGAGACATGAATTCCTAAGAGGCGAGTCGGACTATGTAACCATTTTAGTTGTAACGGATAACTTTTGTTTTTTTCCCATTTTCCCAACCAAATTGCTTTCGATTTCTTTATGTTTAACTTGAGACCCGCTAGCCTCCCAAAATCTCCCACCGTTTTCAAAGCATTTTCAACGGAGATCAAATCTGCACAGAAAAGGTTTGTGTCGTCTGCGAATTGGCTCAATTTGATTTCGTGCCCGAATATTTTGATTCCTGTTATACTTGGTTCTTGTCTGATTTTGCTGGATAATATCTCCGTGGAAAGCACAAATAAGTACGGAGAAAGGGGATACCCCTGTCGCACTCCTCTTGACGGTCTAAACCAGTTGGTCATGAAACCATTGTTTATCGCCGCGCTCTCAATTTTTGTATAGAATGTACTGATCCATCTTTTTATACTTGTTCCGAAATTGAAGATATCCAGTGCTTTCATCATGAACGACCATTCTAGAGAATCAAAAGCTTTCCGAAAATCTAGAGATACTAGAATGCCAGGTATGCTTTCTGACTTCGTATGTTCCATTATGTCGATTATTAGCCTAATATTTTCCCCGATATATCTTCCTTTGATAAAACCGGTTTGATCAGTGTGCACTAGATTTGGTAATAATGGTTCTATTCTCCTTGCTATTGCCTTAGTTGCTATCTTGCAATCAACATTTAGCAGTGTTACCGGTCTCCAGTTTGAAAGTTCTAGTAGCGAGCCATCTTCTTTGGGAATTAAAGTAATAACACCTCTTCGTTGTGAAATGGTGAGTTCATTTGCATCATAGGCCGCATTGAAACTAGCAACAAGATCGTGTCCTAGCAGATCGAAAAAAAACATATAAAATTCAACCGTGAAACCATCTTCTCCTGGAGCTTTGTTGTTTTGAAAAGTGTCTAAAGCTTTTTTGCATTCTTCATAAGATAATGGACCTTCTATTCTATCTCTGTCTGCATCTGATAGTTTTGGAATTTTTAAATGTTCGGTGAATTCATCAACATTATTTTCCTGTGAATTATTTGCTGATGCGTACAATTCGCTTTATAGTTTTCGATAGCTTCTAATATCTGAGACTCGTTGTTTGTTACTGTTTCACTTTCTGTTCGCAGTTCAGTGATGGTTTTCCTGTTGTAGTTTCTTTTCTCCAGATTGAAAAAGTACTTTGTTGGACGTTCGCCCTTTTCGACCCATCGACATTTCGATCTAAAAATAGCTGCCCTCCCTTTCTCCTCATAAATAGATTGGAGTTCCATTTTGAGATCTTCATATTCATTTAGGATGTGCGCGATATTGGGAGAGTTAAAGTTGTCGCAAATATTGCGGTCCAGAATTTCGAGCTGTCTCCTAATTTCCAATTCTCTATTAGTGGTCGCTTTAGCTTTCTTTTTACTATAAGCAATGGTTGCCGCTCTGGTTTCCATTTTTAACATTTCCCAAAGAAGGCGTGCGTCTGTCAAATTGGAGTAAAAAGCGCGTGTGCGGGAGTACGTTTCACGGATTTTGGACACATAATGTTCATCTTTCAGTAACGTGTTGTTGAATTTCCAAAGTCCGGGTCCTCTAGACTTTTCAGTTGTCCAAGACAAAGAAATGTAAATTGCTCGGTGATCCGGTGCTATAGAAGGATAAATTTCGCTTTTCTTCACATGTTGTGTCAGATTTTTGGCAACTAGGAAAAAGTCTATTCTGGATTTCAGTTTTAACACTTTTGATTCATAAGAGTATTTACGTAGCCTCGGGTGACGTAATCTTTGAATATCTACGAGATCGAAAGCGTCCATAGTTGTCAAAATCAGGTTTCGATAATTTGTTGGTTTCAAATTGTGCCACCAATTTTATCTATCTTTGATAGTGTGCAATTCCAGTCGCCTCCTACAATAAGCGTGGAAATTTCTGACTTGTCGATAAGGCAATTGTTTAAGTTTTGTAAGAAATCTAATTGTTCACTTTGGCTATTCGGGGCATAAATATTCACCAGTGATAATTTTAGAGAATTCAGAACACAAGTAATTAGCACGATTCTTCCAGCCTTGTCGCTGAATGAGTAATCGATCTTATTTTGTACCGTAGGGTGTAAAAGAATGCAAACACCTTTACTATGCCTGGATCCGTGAGAGAAAAATATTTCACCTCCCCATTCGTTTTTCCAAATAATTTCATCTTCTGGTTGAGAGTAAGTTTCTTGCAAGAAATAAATTTTTGAGTTATGATCTTTGAGATATAGAAAAATGCTCCTCCGTTTGGCTTGATCTCTTATTCCCCTTACGTTTAGAGAAAGTATATCGTATTTTGCTTTCTCTTGCATTACAATAAAAAACAAAAAAACAAAAACAAAAAAACAAGAAGAATATATATGCAAATTTAAAAAAAAAAAAAAATACAGAAGCAAACAAAACTAAAATTATACAAAACGTAAATTAAAGTAGTTTTTGAGCGTTTCCCTTCTTCTTCTCCGAACTTTGCGTTTTTTGTTCCTGTCCCAAATGTAAGTTACAGTTTTTGTCTTCCTTGGCCGATTGGACATTTAAAGATAATCTAAGTCTTCCAGCTCGTTAATTCTGACCGGCTTACCCTGCGGAGAGGTCTTGACATATATTGATCCATCCAATGACCAGACACTCAACAATTCATCATTTCTCCGCATCGCGTGTAGACCCTCTGTGTAGTTAAAGCAAAAATCTTGAATAATCAGAAAAAAAACATACTTTTAAATAAAATTCATCCGAGCTGCGTATCGAAAAGTGCCCAAAAACTGAACCTAGAAGTAAAAATCCTATAAAATTCGCAGAAGTGATAGAGCGCTTACTACACGTGTATGTGTAACGTATGTAAGGGTGAAACAATGCACTTTGAGAAAAAATAAATATAGGAGACCTAACTTTCTTGGCTTTCTTGGTGCTTCACTTCTCTGACTAAGTTCTCTGTGTCTTTAGATTTTTGCTGAGGTCCCTTTTAAACTTTGTTAAGGAAAGGCAAAGGATATATTGCATTAAGTAGCACCGCTTTTCAAATAAAATGTTTTTGCCGCAGCAATTTTCTTCGAAAGTAAAAAGTTATTCATTGTCAGTTTTGTGCATGTTTCGGTCTTATTTAGATGGCAAATGCCACTGTAAGACAAACGTTCGTGCTACTCTTTTCAGCCACTGAAGCTGGAGCCAAAACCAGACTTGTGCGTGGTGACTTGATTCAGTGTGTTTCCTTGCACTCCAAGTTTCTATTGTATGTGGGGGGGTGGACGGTAACATAAATATATATAATTAATTCCCTTGCAGACAACACTCATTTTCACACGAGAGGTTTTGCGCTAAGCCTTTGAATTTAAAGTTTCGGCAACTCAAGAATAATTTGATCAAAAAGTTAAACGCTAAAAGATTTTTTAAATACTTTTAAAAAACATTTTAAAAGGTGAACGACGTTTCGGTGCTACGTTACGCCATAGTTATTAGAGGAGACTGGTTATGAAAAGCGACAAACATCAATGATAAAAACAACAGTGCTGCAGTTTATGTTCAAAGCACCGTGAAAGTGCACAATCCTTTGTTTTCTGTTGGCAAATTGTTACGGAATAAATTAATGCAACGTTTTTATTGGTCAATACAATCAAAATGATAGGAATTCTTTTGAACGTTGTGCACTTTCAGGTCCACAAAAACATATAACAAAGGAGTCTGACGGGTTTCATAACCATTCCACTCAATTAACTATGGTTACGCCATTATCAAGTTGAAAAGTGAAAAAGTATAAAGTGTAAAACGAATATATAAAATTTGAAACAATACATAAAATATTTGCGGGTCCAATGGGTATAATTCCAAAGGTAAGAAACACAAAAAGAGAAAAAAATAAGAAATGTACGAAAGTGTCACGTAAATAGTTTGGCGCGAATGGAGTCGGTTTGCGTGTTAAGAGAAGGCTTGATGTCCTTTATGTATAACATCTCGTAGACTAAGCAATCAAACTTGCTGTTACATTTCCTCAGAACTTTGAAAAGATGGTCAGTCTTTGTTCTGTTGTTGCCATGCTGTGTTTCAAGGTGTTTCCCGATGGCTGAATAACGGTGTTCAATTATGCGTTGATGTAAGTGTCGGGCAGTGTACCCGACATAATTTGCATAGCACAAATCACATTGAAATAAGTATACAACGCATTGAGTGTTGACGATCGGGGGCTTGTTTTCCTTGACACTCAGGGTTTGTGACAGTTTTCTGCTTGTAAAGAAGGGTTTTACGTTAACATCGATTTTGGCTCCCAGCAGAGAATAGATATCTTTACGTACACGATCAGCTGATCGCTGATCTTTAAAGGGCAATACTATGTAAACAGATGGGTCTACTGAAGGCACGGTGTGTATTTCTTTATCTGGTTCCTGGCTGAACTTATTTATAGTGGAATCGACCAATCTTTTCGGACAGCGCAGCTTTGAAAACATGGTGCGTAATTTGTTATGTCGGGTACACTGCCCGACACTTACATCAACGCATAAGTGAACACCGTTATTCAGCCATCGGGAAACACCTTGAAACACAGCATGGCAACAACAGAACAAAGACTGACCATCTTTTCAAAGGAAATGTAACAGCAAGTTTGATTGCTTAGTCTAGGAGATGTTATACATAAAGGACATGAAGCCTTCTCTTAACACGTAAGCCGACTCCATTCGCGCCAAACTATTTACGTGACATTTTCGTACATTTCTTATTTTTTTCTCTTTTTGTTTTTCTTACCTTGGGAATTATACCCATTGGACCGACAAATATTTTATGTATTGTTTCAAATTTTATATATTCGTTTTACACTTTATACTTTTTCACTTTTCAACTTGATAATGGCGTAACGTAGCGCCGAAACGTCGTTCACTTTTTAAAATGTTTTTTAAATGTATTTTAAAAATCTTTTGGCGTTTAACTTTTTGATTAAATGAATTTCGAAAACTCAAGAATAGCCTTTTTTTTTGCTTTTTTAAGTTTCTTACTTCATTTGTCGACAAAAACGACTAAAGAGAGATTTCTGCTAAAGCTGTGTCAGCGAAACGGAAATTAAAAAAGAATCGCCCTTCCTCTCTTGTATAGAGCTAACAGTACAGCAAGAAAATCCTTAACACAGTGAATATTCTCTCAGGATCATTTATAATTCAAACTTGTAAAACTAATTACATGTATATGAATATTACTTGCTACTTGCTTTATTGTACAAACGACCGGTTTCAATAGACCGTCGAAATTTGTGATTTTATTAAATCACTGAGGTTACGATAACTTCGAGTTAAACTGATTTCATGGGTTGTCAAAGAGTCCAGCGATTCCCTTTTCCCTGGTGAGCACCGACTCATTTTGCTTCAATATTCAGAAATATTCTCGATCTCTTTACGCTTTCATTGCCTTTCGCCCGACATGTTTTGCATGGCGTTTAGTCATGCGAAACCTCCACGAAACATCCACGCAGCGCGCGAGGTGAATTTATCCCGATTCTAAAAATAACTCGAGACGAATTACCTATGGAATAGGGTGTGTATGGGCGATGCCTTCTCTGTCCCCTTTATCCTCTCTTGGTATAAAACAATATATTTCAGAATTATATGGAGAAAGCGGCATAATCCTTGGAGTCTCAATCTCTTTCACGTGCATTTTAGCCCCATAATGAAAATGAAACAGCTAGATTTCATACTATAACTAAGGTACAGATTCTTAAACACGATCTTAAAAAAAGACTCGTTTGGCAGTAGTCTCTTATAATAATCTATAATTGCCTTGAGAAGATGAAACAATTTCTCTTTTTCATATCCTGTGTTCCGAAAAAAGCTTCTTTATTTTGACAGCAGTCGCCACCTCTATTCATGGTCATAAATGTGCTTTTTTATAGACAAGTAAACAACTGGCCAGATTTCAACACTTTCCTAATGAACAAGACTGACAAGCTAATGCGGCTTTGACTTCAGAGGTAAATGTTAAAAAGTCTACGGCATTGACTGCAACATGTGCTATTTGCTCTCTTGATTATGCGCGCAGCGTTTCAGCAGCTGAAACAATAAGTGTACTTCCTTTATAAGCGCACCTATGAGATCAATTTGTGATGTTTATTCAGTCTCAGTGTTCACTTTAAGTTGTAGGGAGCGCGCAAAACAGGAAAACGGCAAAGTCATGGCCAAAGAAATAATACAATTTTTCGTAGCAGCGAATTTGGTCACCTTTGTTTTAGGTCATGGCATGATGCTTGATCCCCCCAGCCGAAACTCCGCTTGGAGATATTTTTCAAACCGTCCAAAGCAGTATACGGATAACGAATTGAATTGTGGGGGATTCAGCGCACAATGGGACAAACATGGTGGTAAATGCGGCGTTTGCGGCGACGAATATAACATAGCAAACCCTAAGTACGTCTATCCAGGCTTATTCGCTCAAGATGGTTTTATCACCAAAACTTATAAGAAAGGAGAAACAATTCAGATCACAGTAAAGATCACTTCCAATCATCAGGGATTCTTTCGTTTCACCGTGGGTAAGCTGGAGAGACGGCCAATCACCCAAGAACAGCTAACTCACGTCTTGTTGCAACCCGATGGTTCGAACACGTGGCAGCTGCACTCATCCGCAAATGGAAACTACCACATCAAACTCGTGCTGCCCAAAAGCCTGACATGTGATCACTGCGTGCTTCAGTGGTGGTGGACAGTGGGAAACAACTGGGGCTGCAATGAAGAAGGAAATTGTGGAGTTGGTTTGGGAAAGAAACAAGAAACATTTGTCAACTGTGCCGATATCAAGATAACACCAGAGGGAGGGGCTAGTGGTACAGATGCACCCCTAACAGAACAACCCTCTACTCAGGCGCCTTTGACAGGGTCTACACCTAGTTCCAAACCCCCCAAAACACAGAAACCCTCCACTGGATGTAAGGCGACGGGGCCCTGGACCGGACAAGCTGCTATGGACAAGTGGTGCGTTCAGAACTGTGCATTAGGCAATTGCCCCTCAAGCCACTGCCAGTGTTAAGCATGCAATCCGTTTCTTTTTACGAGTGAATTATGCGTGTGAATTAATTTTGTACTGGAGAGTCGGTCAAACTTAAGAAAAAGTTATCAGCAAGCTAGAATTAGTACGAATCTAACTCAAAATATATGTTATTCAGAATCGTGCCGACTAAGAATACTCCTCTTTCATAGGAAAAGCATTTCTTGTCGGCTTAGCTTTACACTGTTCAATAGTCTGTCTAAGGTTGACATACCACTTCTAGTGTCTTGTGAGGTGGGGCATACGATGACCAAACAAGCCTATAGACGTACAGATTGATGAATGGTTGTATGAATGATTGGATGGAAAAATGAATAAATGAACTATCTATCAATTAATCAATCACCATGGAAAGAAAAAACCTAATATTGCTCTCATTTATAGCTCTATGTCTACGAAAATGTCGTGTAAATCTCAAAATAATTCCTAACCTCGAACAGATTTTGAAAAATTAGCCCATATCTGAAAACTCAAGAGACATTTTCAACATTAATGGCCACATGTGACGTAGTACAACTGTAAAAAATTCCTTAAAACAATAAGAAAGTTCTCCGTGGTAGGTGAGTGATTCCTGTAACAAAGTGTTTACACGGCAGGTAGTGTTTCCCTGGTTCTAGGGTAATCCTGTTAGGGGCGTAGCCAGCCACTGTTTCCTTGTAAGCCGGAGTTGTATAAGCCCTACGGGAGATGGGGGCTGGGGGGGAAGTAAATTAAACAATCATTCAGGTGGATGGGTTTGTTCGAAGGTGCTTTTTCACTTGGATCAATGCAGAAAAAGAGTAGTTCAACATAGCATTAAATTAAAGTTTTTCGGTAGGAGCTACTTGGCTACTTAATATTTGAAAGTGGTTTGCCAATTTTTTAAAGTCAGACCCCAGCACAGCCTAACAACAAAACAAAAACAAACAAGGAGAAAGCGGTTTACTAGCTGTTATTTAGAGCTGAGACCTTCCGAAAGTACGAGTTTTTAAACTCATGATTCTAGCGGGTACTCAAAGTAAACAAAGTGGAGCCGCTCGAGCTCTGCAACGTATCTACTTGAAAAACCCAAGATGGGGTTCCACGACGGATTTTTCTAGTGAATTATGTGCCAATATTGCACGCCAATCACTGAGAAAGACATTGGTGCCCGTATTAAATGCACTTCTTATCTTGTTAACATGCGATTACTTGAGCTCATTTCAACCCACATTTTTGTTAAGACGGGGCTTAATGGCAACTACACCCCTGCCTGTAGCGCTAAAGGTTCAGCCCTTGCGCCACGGTTACCCTTATCGGTCTTGTAAACACGTCGCATAAAATAAGAAGAAATGTGCGAGTATTTGGGTAACCGTCTTGCTTGGGTAAACCTTAAATTATTCCAATTATGCAATCCATTCCCGATAAATAAAGTAGTTTTTATTTTGTAATGGAAAAAAATACCTAAAGTATATCTTTTAAGACTAGTATGACAACACATGACTAGGGACAGTTTTAGAGAGGTTGACAATAAAAAATATATCGTTGGGATCTCAGTAAAGGTGACCGCGACCACTTAATACAGGTGACCGCATGTCAGTATTGTAGTAATCAAGAGAATGCTTAAAATACATAAACTCAAAAGTGGGTTGAATTTGATCGTCCGGGTAAACGTAGTCCTGAATAGGACTGTTGAAATGACTCCCGGGTTCAAACCTTTCACAATAAATAACCCGTTGGGACTTCGGTAAAGGTGACCGCATGTCAGTATTGTCAGTATTATAGTAATCAAGAGAATGATTGACCATAAACTCGGTAAAGGTGACCGCGAACACTCAAAAGAGCAATGCCATGCAATTTGTTATCTTTTCAAAAAGCTTAAGCCGAAAATAGTGGTCTATTATTGTTATTCAAGACCATATTTATAGGTATTTCGTGTCTTCTGTTGCAACAGATAGCAAGGATGGACATTGACTGAAACTTGAAAAAGTTGGGTCAACTTTGTTGAGTTTTTATGCTGAGTGCTCCCTGCTGGTGAAATTTGTTTGATATCTTCTTCATAACTCGATCTACAGGAGCAGTTTGTGTATGGGGCATGCATAGAGGATATTACACGGTGGCGCGAAGATATGAATTTTATTTTCGAGTGGCAAAACAACATTTTACGAACGAGCGCAGCGAGTGAGTAAAATATTGTTTTGGCCACGAGAAAATAAAATTCATATCTTCAAGCCGCCGTGTAATGTTCTTTTTATTATATACAGGTTGTCCCAAAAGTTCGTTCCTCTACTTTGTAAGTACTCGTGAAACAAATTATTTATGCACAAGTTGTTTATTTCAGTCTGATTAAGTACCATTTATTTATTGCGCCATCTTTTTATCGGAAAATTCAATTTTTGCATTTTCTCGCCAAAGGTGTGCACGCGCGTTTATATTTTCCCGCCAAATATTTGTCGTATTTTGTGTCCTGAATTGCTAACAATCTTTCCTCGGTTTTGTGAATATCATGAAAGGTGCACCCTGTCAATGCTAAAATACTCAGCTACTTGAGAGCCCAAGCGTTTATACTCAGATCAACTGGCTTGTCAGTTAAGTAAATTTCCAAAAAGCTGCAAAAATCTGAACGTTGGGTAGTGAAATGGTCCTCAAGAAAAGAACGGGAAGACCGAAAATCCTTAATGAGGCAGCAAAAAGAATTCTGAACAAAGCTAAGTACAAAAGAGGAAACTCGACCATACAGCTCAGCTTTCACGACAATTAGCAAGCAAAGGCCATGTTGGGGGAAAAAACACTATCTTGAGGTTTATAAAAAACGAAGGTTGGAGACCGCTGAGAAGGCGAAAGAAACCTCTGCTCACAGCCAAGCAGCGTGCAGCTCGACTGAAATTTGCTAAGCAGTACAAAAACCTCACTGCGGAAGAATGGGATGATTTTCTTTTTGCGGACGAATGTCCCCAATATTTGTTTCAGCTGCCCAATCCAAAATTTGATATTGTTTGGGGTTCTCAGGAGAGCAAGGTTCCTCCAGCATATCAGGTTTAAAAAAGTTCAAAATGGATCATATGGGGCGGAATGACAGGCCGCGGTCTTACTGGGATACATCTTTTACCCCAAGGACAGACTTTGACTGTCGATTACTACATCAACAACATATTAGAAGCCTGTCCTTCACCGTATAAACGTGAATGAAGCAACAGACAAGCGGAAATTGTGCAGTTCCAATCGCCACGTGCATGACGTTCGTCCAAGACGGGGCGTCAGCACACGCAACCAAGGCCACCCAGGCATGGTGCCAAAAAAAAACCTGTCAAATTTTATAGAGAAAACATGCTGGCCCCCAAATTCCCCAGATATTAACCCTGTGGAGAATCTTTGGAGCATAAGGGATGAAGTCGTCTATAAAGACCCAACTCCTAAAACCATGAAGGATCTGAAAAGACGGCTCAAACAAGCCTGGAAGAAAATCCCGCTCTCCACGTCACGCTACATGACTTTTTATCCCACTCCATGCCGCAACGGCTTCGGAACGTGATAACAAACAAAGGAGGGCATGCTGGATATTGAATTTTCAAATATATGTACTCAGTAAAGCAATAAACGTCTTTAAGAAATTTCATGCAGAAGTGTAGTTTCGATCAAAAGTTATGTCGCATGTAATAAGAGGAACGAACTTTTGGGACACCCTGTAGACAAAAAGGTGTCGATACAATAATAGATTTTTATTCGCGCAAAAAGTAATTGTGACGGCTCAAATTTATAGTGCAGCAATATAAGACATTGTTTACAATAATCTTGAGAAATAACACTGAGCTGAATAGGGCTGTACAATGACAAAATATAAGCAAAGCTTTGAAAAGTGTGTAAGTAAAATTCAAAAGACGCAAGACGCCTTACAAATTTCGAAGGGAAATTACCGAAATTACGTCATCGATAAACTCCCGTGTGAGGCAGGTCACGCGCTCTAATCTAAATATTTTTGCCAGCCAAATTGACACAAATTAACAATTTATCTGTTACAGCCTGACAAAGTTTTTCGCTGCTACTATACTAAAGTTTCGAAGGATAGATCAACCCTCGCTTTTAAATGAATGCTCAGGCCACAGTTAAACCCCGTTAATACAGACACTTGGGGAAGGGGGAGAGGACATAGAAAGTTTCCTTATTAACTGGGTGCTCGTTTAATTATTTAAGCAAAAAATACACCTTTTATTTGAAAAACATGCTAAAGAAATAAAACAAGGCATTAGCATCGTTAAACTGAGGGAAAGGTTTATCACAGCACACAGTTCAGTGCGACGATGAATTGTCCGCATTTGCAAGGTTGACATCTATGAGGTTCTGTTCATTGAGCAAGAAACAAGTGTCCGTTGTCCGCATTAACGCCGGGTGTCCTCATTAAGCCGATTTAATTGAGGGAAAATGAGTAGATCGTTTTCACTGTGTCACGAAACAAAAAAATAAATTGGAAACCGTCCAGTGGAAGAAGCCAAGAAAATGAAATGTTACAAAAGACCAATATATAAACAATTTTTCCAAGTCCGAGGTCTCTGTGGCCCACAGTTTCTGAGTTATTTGCCGAAACGTTTCACGCACCTTTATAAAGCTTTGTATGGAGACGCCATATTGGTGAACGGTTTTGGTGCACCTATACGGCCGCCGGAAATAAAATAAAAAAGTCTGGAGTTCACGTTTTCTATAAAAGCTCTTTTTTTTCACTCGAGAACTAGCATAAGTGCGCATAAACATATCTTCTAATACTTGAAATGGTTATTCTGCTGAAAATCTAGAGACAGCATTCGTATTTTGGTGTCACGCATTCTGAAAATTGCTGCATTTTCGAAATGAAACATGCAACGGGAATGGAAACTTGTACAAAGATTTACTGTTTTTGTTTATCTTCAACCTAGTGTAAATAAGAATTCGTAAAACCTCGCTATTTTAACTTTACAATTTGATGACTTCACTGTGAAAACCATCTATTAGGGCGGGCTTTGCCCAGGGACAAAGAACACTGTCCGTAATATTTTACTGAGGAAGAAGTTGTGGCATGACACGTTGTGACTTATCCTAGACAATCTGTGATGAACGGAAGGTCAACATGATTTTCTTCCCCTTTCATAAAAAAAAACAAAAAACATTTTAACCTGAACAACATGCAACACTAGTAGTTAAGTAAAAGTTTCATAACATTCTGACTACGATTGTAAAGCAAACGTAGGAGTTACAAACTTGTGATCATGTTTCACGAATTTGCTTTCTGAAAAAGAAAATGCCATTTTGATATCTTTAATATCCCGTATGTTTTAGTCGCATACCTTATTAAAAATCAGAGATGATGAAATAGAGTTGTTATGTTTTCACCAAGGCAAAGCCGTAATGAAAACGAACTTTTACAGACGAGGCAACAAACTGCACCCAAAGCAGAGCAAATACAAAAGAAACAAAATATCAGTCACTGCTCCTACCCGGCAATTCTATATAGGGCTTGTTTTAGTACATAATTTGTCCTGTTTCCGATCCATCAATATCCGGACGCTGGCATGCCAAGTGGCCACTTCTTCCAAAACCAAATTTGTATTTATAAACGTCGGAACTTGTCTGGTATAAACCGCCCACAGCAGGGTGATCACGTTCCGTCCGGGATAACGTGTATCATTCAGCTGAATCATCACCAGTCCTATATAGTTTTCTTTTCATAAGTTCGTTCGCTAAGCTGTAATTTTGATTGCAAAGGGAGAGTTTATTAGACCACTTCAAAGAAACCAACCGTCTAGTGGATTTGGGGTTTGTGGAAGCACTCCAAACACTTCTCAAGTGTTCTTAAAATTCTTAAATAGTCTGCGAGCATGTAGTGGTTTTCCCATGCCGGACGCCGCTCGCCGGGTAAATAGTAGACGGAATAAGATTTGTTATTCGGGCTATTCATTGTAAGTATTATGATTTGTGCGCTATCGCGCTAGTGTCGCAGGGCCTTTGCACTATATCCCGAAACAATACTATGAATAAAAGCAATATAGTAATATATTGTAAAATTATATATTGTAGAACTTAAGTTTTCTGGACCTTATCAGGAGTATGACCAAACTAAGTAATTTGTGGGCGGCATTGGGTGGGGCATTTTTGCTGACTCATTAGTCATCACAACACCTCATCACGGGGGCTTTTGGTATAAAAGTGATGGCACATTGCTAAAATCTAATCTGGCATTGGCAGTTGGCGGTAAGTCATAAAAGCTTGGTCATTTTTCAAATTTTACTTTTGCATCAAAAACGAATACAAGACTGAAGGACCGGTAAAATGAATGTTACAGAAATCTTTCGTTTTTTGTTGGTCGCGAAAATGATCGCTTTGGCTCTTGGACATGGAAGGATGATGGACCCTGCTAGTAGAAACTCCGCCTGGAGAGTCTTTCCCAATCGTGCGAAGCAGTACACGGATAACGAGTTGAATTGTGGGGGATTCAGCGCCCAGTGGGATAAGCATGGTGGTAAATGCGGCGTTTGCGGCGACGAATATAACATAGCAAACCCTAAGTACGTCCACCCCGGATCGTTTGCTAGTGATGATTTCACCACCAAGACTTATAAAGAAGGAGAAACAATTCAGGTGACAATAGAGATCACTGCCAATCATAAGGGATACTTCCGTTTTAGTGTGGGTAAGCTCCAGACACGCCCTATCATCCAAGAACAGCTTACACACGTCTTGTTGCAACCCGATGGTTCGAACACGTGGCAGTTGCAGTCATCCGCAAATGGAGAGTATCTCATCGAGCTCGTGCTGCCCAAAGGCCTGACATGTGATCACTGCGTGCTACAATGGTGGTGGACAGTGGGAAACAACTGGGGAAAAAAACAAGAAACATTTGTGAACTGCGCAGACATCAAGATTATACCAGCGGGAGGTCCTGTGCCAACAAAAGAGAAGCCAAGCACGGAAAAGCCTTTAAGCTCCACCGCTACGGCCTTACCCCCTAAGGTACCCTCTACAGGGAGCCCGCAGAAGCCTTCCATTCGCAGCCCCTCCACTGGAGGACCCTCAAAAGAAGGGTCAACAACTCTCCCTACTACAGCGTCATCAACAGGAGGATGTAAGTCCGCGGGAGCATATGCCGGTCAACCTGGTATGGATCAATGGTGCGTTACTAACTGTGCAGCGGGATACTGTCCTGCCTCTCATTGCGTTTGTAACTAGAATGACACTTTGACTTGAATGTCGTATCATGGGCTCCTAATTTAAACTAGCATGCATATTCTGCTCCCTAGGGTGTTACTTGGGTTAATTTTTGCTGGATTTGAGCCGCTGGCATCTGAGAACCCCTACTCCATTATAGCCTGTTTTGTGGCCAATGATAGACCCTATCTAAATCACTTTTGAAGAAAAGTAATTTTCGCGATCTGAACTTAGTCACTTTCTCTTTATGCATCTGCCTCATAAAGCCTTTTAGGTAAGCCATACTGAAATGAATTGAGGTTAAACGTTTTTAAGTGTTAATCGTTCCATTTTTAATCCCTACCTACGTGAATTTTCTGAACCCCCAATCTCGAAAATGTGAGACCCCATTCTAGAACTCTAATGAAAATGCAACCCCATAATAGTCAATTCAGTCGTGAAAATGCGACCCCATCCAAACGTCACATCCCCATTAGCCTATTACTAGGAAGTACTCCCCGGTTCTGCTCACTTTTTCTCAGTCCATTTCTGTTGATATCGATTATTTAACAATCAAGACCAATATTTATTTGCTAGGCAATCATTTCCTTCATTCTTGCAGCTTTTGTAATTGATTTGTATGTTCTCAAATGGTGAAGAATAAAATAATAAAATAATTTAACACTCGTTTTTGTCAAACTTCTAAGTGAAATCATTTCTTAATTTCGAGAGTATACCATTTGATTACCTACTAATAGCATGGATGACAAATTACGCTGAAAATCGTGAAAGTGTTTGACTTGTTTGTCGTTATCGACAACTAACGCCTCACCCTGAAAAAGTTAAATTAATATTTAAAGTTCACAATTTCCTGAAATTTTTGACAAAAAAACCCAGCCTTTAGAATCCTGCTGCGTTTGATGAAAAAAATTGGGCTCTTTCGTGCATATAGGCTTTCTACTCTGACGTGTTCATTGGAAACGTACGTCTTAAAACATGAGCGCCATCTTGGCATGACTCAGGGAACGTTGCCATAGATATTTTGTAATTTATAAATTAACTCTGAAATTTTGCGCCAAAATTAGGGAGCAAATTTGTCATCCATGATATCCGAGAAATGTTATTTCAAAGTGGAATTGGATGATGATGGTAAGAGCTGCCTCGCTCCCAGGCGTCACTTCTAGATCTGACCAGGCACGCGAGGTGTCACGGGAAGGATGCAGTCGTGGCTTTGTGTTTTGCATATTTTGCAAGATGCTCTGGTCTCTTGTGACGCTCGGGTACCAAGAAATTACAGGGTAGTATGAATTAATATAAGCTTTCCAATGTTGAAACCTTTTACTATTATTTGTGATAAGACTTTCATATGGCCGTTCAAGGGCTTTAAAGATGATCACGGTCGATTAGATGACACCTGTTTCATAATTTTAGAATATGTCTGTCATCGTAGCTTGTTACGTGGCAAACATAAATCCATGCGAGGTATTTGGAATTGTGATATTCAATTCGAAGATCAGGCTTTACTATATTTTGTGGTTTGGCCGACTGAGAGCGGCATGAAAAAATTTTAGTATTTCCATGTCTTGGAAAGATACTGTACATGGAGGAGAATAAAAAAAAAAGTAAAAAGAACTGTGTGTCCTGGGACTTCGACTTTTTCAACCCGTCTCCACCCAACTTGAACGTAAGGAATGACCGGTCTCTGACTATAGGCTTTTGGATTCCTATCATAATATGGAAATTGTGCTCAAGAGTAGCCTGAAAGTACACTACGGCCAGGCTTTCAATTTCCTCAGGGATAGTAGACAGAACTAAATACGCGAACGTGTGCATGAATATCGCGAGGATGGTATCGCGCGTGTCACCTTTCTCGCGCGGGGGAGGGAACAGATTTCACGCGCTCACCTATTTTGCCCTCTCTGCTATCCCTGATGTAAATGAATGCTTAATCCTAGTCTATAAAGCCCTAGATCCGTGTAGAATATACAATTACTTTACAGACTTCATATGCTCTTTCTTTTTAGCACTGTGTCAGTGCCTTGTTTCACATAAATCAAGTCACTTAAAATTTTAGGGCAGGAAACGTTTTTGTTTGTATGGCTGCTGATTGTTCTAAGATAAAGGAATTTTAATCACAGGGAAAAAACCGTGGACGAAGATCCTGCTGGTTATCAACGTGGGATCTCTAGAAAAGAGATGTAATCAGCTAAAGTATTAAGAACCAAAAAACGAGAAGTCCAAAGACTACTGCAGAGCTGATCGTGGCAACGTGTATTGCTTTTTCATAACAATATTTCGGCTGGCCATACAGCCTTCTTCAGGTTTACAGATGTTACTGAATTTATGATAGGAATTACAATATCATATAGATGGAGAATGTCGCAATAAAAATGGTTTAAAAGGGAGAGGCGGAAATTACGTAAAACAGAAAAAAGAAAAGGAAAACTAATAAGGATATGGATTACAATAATTCGTCACGGCGGTTTAGGCCATTAGGATATCTATCAAACTCCCTCGCCTTCCGGACTGAGTCACGTGAAGAATGAATTTTCTCTAGTGGGATTAACTGCATGTCAGTGTGTAGCCTGTTCCAGGCTCCGAGATGGTGGTGGAAAGTCGTTCAGTAATACCTTTCCCAAGTCGTGCGCGTCTTATTTTCACTTTGTTCGCTTTAATACGTTCCCACTACACTATCTGAGAGCCTGGCACAGGCTAGTCAGTGTGAGAATGGTCAGAGTGAGAGAGAAAGTGTTCAGAAACAGTAGTGAGTTTAGATTTAATGTTAGTTTTGTCGACTGGACGTCTGTGTCATAACGGGTAATTGTGCTTTAACTAAAAGGTCAAGAAGATTAGGGTTACGTCTGTAAGCAACAAAAGGCGGTTGTTTAAAGACGTCTTTCAGCGGTTAGAAGAGAGTAAGATGTTAAAATGCTTGCGTAAGATATTAGAAATCTGGAAGTGCTGGGTTAGATGTGACAACAAAGGGATCTACACCCTTAGAATCTTTAGGTTTAGTTTGCGGAATAGTTGAGCATATTTTATGAAACACACAACAGCCAGTTACTTCAGATAATGGTTTATTATCGTTTAGATCATGTTGTCCGTCTACAGCTATCCCCTTAATATGTCAAGCTATAGAGAGAAGTCGTTACGTCAAGTTGCCATGGTAGCAAAATTTCTGGATGACAACAAACCGAAAACGTCAATTAAAAAGTGAGTTCGCACTGTTTCAAACTTCATCGACCTCATTCAATTCATTTAATTTGCCAAAAGTTGTATCCGAAAGGACCGTATCTAAGTTTAGAAAAAGGAAAACAAAATTTTTGCGTTGTGTTCACCTACTCCATACAGCGGGCGCGTGAAAGTAGGAAGTTTCATTTACCAATCGTGTAATGACAGCTAAGAAAGGTATAATAAAGCGTGATACACGTGCATGGTAGTTATTTTTCTCATTAAACCTATTGCTTTTTCCCGTTCTCTTTACCGTCACCGTCGTCGTCTTAGCCTCCCCCGCTGACGTTCTTAGGGGTTGGTCACGCGTTCCTGCCCCACTCTAGTGGGGACTCTAGTCTGCGAGGAGGCTACCTTCGTCGTCATTATTGTGATCCAGAAGTTGGGGTACCATGGCAATATGACGTCACACTTCTCCTCTCTATTCTAAGGACAGTAGCACATATTAGAAGGGCAATAACCTACGGCGCAATTTGTTTTGCACCAGTTATCCATAGAGGCGCTACCAGCATGAGCTCCTATGGCAACACATCCCCCTGGCTGGGGAGCATTGGTCGGTGGTGGTGTGGGCGGCTGTGTTGGGGCTCGGGTCGTAGGAGGCGGGGCGTCTGTTGGGGGATTCGTTGGAACGCTTCCATCGCCATTGATGATCCTGATGTCTGCGCAGTTGACAAATGTTTCCTGTTCTCCTTTCCCCATGCCACAGTCATTCGGACCATCGCATCCCCAGCTGTTTGCCACGCGCCACCACCACTGTATCACGCAATGATCACATGTCAGCCCCGTGGGAAGTTTCATCTTGATCGCAAACACCTCATTTTTGTTCGAATTGATCTTCCATGTCTTTATAACGTGTGCCAGCTTTTGTTGGGTAATAGGTGGCGTCCCGATCGGGCCCACACTGAATGTAAAAGTTCCCTTATGGTTAGAGGTAACGTCCACCTTCACTTCAATCTCCTGGCCTTCTCTGTAGGTCTTGGTAATGATACCTGTGGCGTATTTCCCAGGGTGTGTGTACATAGCCTCGCCCTCTTTAAAATGATATGGGTCACCGCAAACGCCACACTTCCCACCGTTTTTATCCCACTGCGTGCTGAAACCGCCACAATTGAGTTCGTTATCCGTGACCTGAGTAGGTGTGTCAAAACCGTACCGCCAGGCGGCGTTTCGGCTTGCAGGATCAATCAATCTACCGTGCCCCAGTGCTTGAACGATCAGACTGAGCGCTACAAGGTAACGAAAGATCGCTTCCATATTGGAGTTTTGAGTGCGCGTTTCCCTTCGAAGCTTTTATCAGGTTTTTAGCTTCTCTCCCAGTGTGACAGTTCTCTTATAGCAGCTTTTTATTTGGTTTGCGTCGAATCAGCTGTTTCTAACAGTCAAAGTTGTCTTTTACTTCAAATATATGTAAACAAAAGCGGTACAGAATAATGTTGCACCCGTTATATTGTAAATAAGACTGTCATACTGAGACAACTGCATTTTCATCTGTGAAGTTTACAAATAAAATGACATTCCAGCAAGGCAGCCTGGTTCACGCCTGTAATCTCTGTAAACAAGCCGGCTTTCTCGTGCAAATTGTCTGACAAGACAAACTCAGCTGCTTCAATACACGTAAATAACTGCTGCTAGCAAATCCTTGTACCAAATAAAAATGTTCTCAAATAAGATCGATAAATTCAACAGTGGCAGGTAGGGATTGCTTTATCCCTAAAGGGTCTTGCACAACGAACAAAAATAAATAGAGGATATCACATGATGACGAGAAGATAAGCATAAGAATTTTATACTTGAGTAAGGGGACATAAATG